TCTCAGCAGGAATTAACACTCTAACATATGATCACACAGATCCACACAATTTAGTACATACATTCCTCCACCTCGGTCGTATCCTCTGCCCAGGTCCCAGCAGAGGCCAGGGCTAAAAGGATGGTTCCCACCATGAAAGGTCAGCCAGGGCAGCAATGAATTCAACTAGGGTTTGAACTCAACAGCAAATGCCAACCACAGAAGCTATTTGAGGCCCACAGCTGGAGTAAGGTAAGCCTTCATCCAAGAGCAGACCAAAGCAACCTCCTCAAAAGTGACCATGCAACAAATGTACAAAGAAGCTCAGGTGTGAGATCCCATTTCAGAAAGAGTTATTGGCATTAAATCTAAGATTACTAGAGGAATACAGCCTCAAGTTGCATCGGGGGGGGCTTTAGCTTGGATAGTAGAAAAAGTTTATTCACAGAAAGGGTTGTGAGGCTTAGGAAGAGGCTGCCCAGGGTAGTGGGGGTGTCACTGTCCCTGGAGGTGTTTAAAAGACACGTAGATGTGGTGCTCATGGACATCATTTAGTGGTGGACTTGGCAGTGTTGGGTTAACTGTTGGATTCAATCTTGGTCTCCTTCAACTGAAACAGCTATGATTCTATGACTCTACTAAGTACATTCAAGCAAGAAGGAGCCTAAAGAAGCAGCCTAAAAACTCTCCAGTTCAGTGTCTGCATCAAAACATGAGAGTTTTGTGAGAAGAAAACTTGACCAAAGCTGTGCCTGTTGGATCACTCCTCAAGAGCTATTTCAGAACCCCAAAATGAGATTTTATCTCAGCAGAGAGCTTTTTGGCTGCTTCCATTACAGCAAGAACACAGCACCTTCTTTGCTGGGTATTAGATTGACTTCCAGCTTGGGTTTGGAAGGGCATGAAAGAGAAATCTTAGTTTTTGATTGGCTTTACCCAAGACTCAGAATTTATACTCCACATTTTTTGACAAAGTTCTGATAAAATAAAGTCAGTCACTCAGGACGTATACACAGAAAGGAGACAAAGTGAGTTATCAGCTGGCAAACACACAGAGCCTAACATTCAAATTATAGATAACAATAACACTCAGATTACTGGCAAACAGTCAGAGGCCCAGATGCCTTGCCAGCATTTTCTATGGAGAAAGTCAATACTTTAACATACAGAGAGTAAAACTGTATCTGATGAGTCCTCTGCCTTGGTACAATATCGAGGGTCCCCACCCTGACGAAGTGATGATCACTTAACCAGTGACACCACTGCAACAGTCTGGCCAAGCCTGACAATCAGTTAAACTGATGTCTGTCGTGCCAGAGATTAAACTTCTGCTGACTTGACATAACTGGTGATTCACTGCACCATCTGGATGCATAAAGAACAGCAGCAGCTCAGCTCAGGAAA